TTGGTGGGGCTTTTGTCCCCTCTCCAGTGCAGAACCTGGAATTCAAGTTGCTCTCAAGACCACAGGTAGCACTGGCCCCATAAGAGCACTCAGCAGTCATCGGTTATCCACTTCTTACCCTCTGCCTTCTCTGCCACCACACTACGCTTAACTGTCCCGATTGGCATGCGTCAGACGATGGGGCAGGAAGACAACTCGGCGCTCCTGGATCCCACTGGCCAAGTGATTGGCTCGTCCTTCCCTTCCCACCTCCACAGCTGTCTTGGGAAACCCAAACCCAAACCCTAATCCAAACCATCCAGGCATTAAGCAGGAAAAGGAAGTCACAGCAATCCCTGAAGGTTAAACATGAACTGGTGAGGCCCAATACCTCAACTAAGCTGATTATAGTGAGGCTAAAAGCAGCACAGTGAAGGAAAGCAGTGAGGATGCCAAATAACACCAGGAACCAGAACACTTGTTTATCTATATTTGCACTGATGAATCCGAGGTGAGCACAAAGATGTTTTGGAATTCAAATCGCAGCCTTCCTAACCATATGGCTTGCTGGCAGGGGCTTCTGGGAGTTGAAGTTCCAAACATCTGGAGGTGAACTGTCTGATCACCTTGGAACATAAGGGCGTACGAGCCATGCTAGGTCAGGTCGAGGTCCACCGGTTCCGACATTCTGTTCACACTGTGGTCAAGCCGCTCATGAGAAACCCTCTTGCCCATGTCCCCCAGCAACAGAGGCATAACCTTCTCGTGCAAGAGGAAGCACATTGGAGCAGAAAGACTTACACCAGGACTCCAGTTTTGGTAGGATGGTGGGTTATAAATCAAACAGCGGAGAAACCGTCACTTGGGGAAGTAATCGTGCATCTTTCTGAAGCTCTGCACACAAGACAGAGAAACTGTTTCCTGGGCACAGAGTTTGGGGTTTACCTGCACCTCAAAGTCACGTGCCAGAAACGGCTGCATTGTTAGACCCATCCTGGTCAACTGCTCCCCTCGTGCCAGGGAAAGGAGGAGGCAGTTGTGTCACAGACGTGCCCTCATTCCTGCAGACTGTCTAGGTCGCGTCAGAAATTAGATTGTGCAAATACGGTGCATTTGCAGCTCTTTCCAACAGTCCATCTTCACAAGGGTTTGCTGCCAGATGGTGCTCGCCCTGCTCCTAATGGGAAACCTGTTGTTCAGCTCATTTTATTTCATCCGCTTGGCACTTGCTGCAAATGCACTTCCGCCTTTCCTATTTCCCTTTGATCTCTCGCCCGCAACCCCTCCAACATACATATGAGGGATGAATATTTTAAAATAACATTGGAGATGCTAGGAGGGGACATTAATGTTTTAAAATCACTATTTGTATCACACTGTTTTTCTTACATGGAATTTCGCTATGAATATCCAGGGTTCTTCACGGGGCTCTTGAAACGATCTCCAATCCCACCTGGCATCATGTTTTATTTTTCATGTCCAGATCCTTGTGTTTCTTAAATAAACCATTGGTAGTTGCCAAGGCAACGGCACCTGCTTTCTCTCACACTCTTCTTTTTCTTTTCTTTAAAACAATAGGCCAGTTCATTTTCTTTGACAGAGATAGAACTTCTCTCTAGTTCTTCAAGTGGGACGATGTGTCCTAAAGCAAAGCAAGCCTGCATCCATGAAATGTGTCCATGAAATGACCTATTTGTCTGTAGAGTCAGGACTTGTGGGTTTTTTTTGGTCCCAGATAAGGCTCAAATACTTGAGCAAAGGGATTCGGGGATTCCTTGGAAGGTTATCAGGCGTCCTCCTCTGAGATCACTGCTGGTCCACCAATCCAGCCGAAAACCCCCTTGCTTGCCACCGTCACCTGTACTGGTGATGTTCTAATCTGCCTTCCCCAGCTGGGGCATTGGACTACAATTCCCACCATTTATTTATCACATTCCTCCCTCACCCCATAGTTGCAGCTGTCTGGGTTATTCCCAACAAGTTACACCGCACAATACAAAATCACAGAAGGCAATATTATTTATTTATTTTATTTTTATTTATTCAAAACATTTCTATGCCGCCCCCATTGCAACAAAGCCTCGGGGCGGCTCACAACATGCTTATGCTAGCTACACTGAAATGTTGATATAGGTACATTATTCAACAAACACAACATAATCTTTAATATAAGCAGGCAATCAAAAATAATAATCAAGTACTGTTGACCCTTTAACTTCAGCAGCCTCTGTGAACAAGCTGAGTCCAGCCTGTGAGAGCAACAGAAATATCCGGCTGTCTCTCATTTAGGAAGGCAACCATCTTCAGCCGTCTCAAAGAAAGTATTACAATTTAAAGCCACTGCATAAACTCAAAATAAAACTCAAAACCCTACATACATCACGGAGGCAGTGCAGAGGCTTAAAGCAAAAGATTGGGAGCAGCAGAAACTGGAAAAAAGGAGACTCTTGTACTTAAAAACCCTGGTACAGCTTCTCTCGGAGAGCTTCTCTCTCTTTCGGGAACAACAGCACCCCATTTTGATGGGAACGTCTGAAGAGTGATGGCTGAATGCAACATTTGAGGTCTTGGAAAGTATATACGGCAGGACATGATCCTGCCCAGCAGACATGGCTGGCATAAAGTTTTCTGGAGCCACCAAACGTTTCTGAAGTTGCTATCGCAGGCTTGCTGAGCCTTCTCAGCCTGAGGGCCAGATTCAGTTTTAGAGAAGCACCCGAAAGCACCAAAGACAAGCAAAAGAAGTTGCCCAAAAACGACAGCATTTACCAGCATATTTTATCTTCATGCCCCCACTGACCTTCTCCAAGTCTCAGGAAAGGCTTTCCAACGATTTAGTGGGGGACTGAAAAAAATTGATAGTGGGTAGAGACCACGGAAGGCCAAGTTTCTTTCAAAGCGCCCTTGATGTAAGGCGTGTGTGAAATGAGTTCCAACCAGGCGTTGCTGAGCTGTTGGGATTTGGGTTTTTTCCCTGACATTTCTGCAAGTCGCTGCTCCGACTCAAGTCTCAGCTCCGAGGAGCGAGCAGGAAAATGACACAGGAGAAAAAGTGACCAGCACTCTCCTGTTTCTCAGCACTGCTGTTCTAGTGTGGACTGGACCTCCAGCAACTTCCTCCAGCAAAAAAGATACAGGGACTCATCCCATTCCGCAATTCAGGTTTGCGGACATCAAATGGACCGCTATGGAACCTGCCAGTGGCTGTCCGGAGATATCTTTGATCGGTGCAACAGAATAAAAGAGCAACAGCCCAAGAGGCTCACGGACACAACGCGACCGATCTTGTAAATCAAACACAAATGAAGCGCGACAGCTTAATGCGGCGAGTGGCGAGGTGGCCCGTCCTCAATTCTTGAGTCTTTATTATGGCTCTCCGTATCAGGCTGTAGATCCGGGGCGTGATTTATAGGCCAGCCAAGCAACTAAGACTCAGCCCCTCTGCCTTGGAGAGGTGAGCTTCTGCAGCAGGTAAATCAGCGACCCTCCGTGGAAGAGGGCCTGGCTGCACTGTTACACTTCCTGTTGCAAACACATGCAGCAAAATACCCAAGGCAGTGCTGTGGAAATCGATTAGGAAATCAAAAGTCCCCCGTCTTGTCCCAGTGGCTGTTATTTGGCCTGAAAATGAGTCGTTCTGGTGCTGGACCAGCGAATTCATGCGTCCAACAGGAAATGTCTCTTATCTTTTGTGCTCCGCCTCACTCCACACGTTGGGCCATGAAGGTAAATGTGCTTTTCCCTGTGGCAAGAAAGAGCAGGCTTCAGGCTTGCCGGCTCGCCTCCTCTTCTTCCTGCTACTGGAACCAGTGCCCTTGGGAGAAGTTTCGAAGTGCAGGCACTCTTCATAACAGCCGCAAAGAAAGCCCAGAAAACAGAGACAGGGCAACCTGTGCTTTGCAACTCCTTTGGGCGACAGTGCCCATAATCCCTGCCCTTCGGCCATGTTGGCTAGGTCTGATGGGAAGTGTAGTCATTTGGAGGTTAACTTGTTGCCTCCCCAATATATCGGTTCTCTAGCAACAAACCAGTTCTAAATGTCTTTGACTAGTTTCGGGCAATGTTAATACCCTATGCTCAATAGTCATTGATAAGCAGGTTGTCACTGAACACAGCCAAGGTAACAAATCATGGTGAACAACCCACAGTTTACAACCCAACAACAAACCATGGCTTGTTAGTGAATCTGGGTTTGGACAACATAGTAACCCACAGTTCAATGATAACCCATTGAACCTGCTGCTGTGTCTGTGCTGATTCAGTTACAATTGCTGTGGATTTGTTATTTAACATTAATTTTTGCTGTATGGGCTTTTTAATTGTGTTAACCAGAGTCTCAGCTACTGGATGGTATAAGAATAATAAAACCATCAGTACCAGCAGTCTTTCTGTGCATTTTTGGGTGGAGTGGGGCAGGTTCGGGAGTGGTACCAACAGCGTTGCCAATTACCCCCGCCCCGCATTCCTAGCAAAGCTCTTGCGTCTTTCTAACAACGGTGTGAAAAGCAAAAGTTCAACAGGAAAAGTGCTTCCACTATCAGCTCAACCTGTTGAACTTCGGCCGAGCCGGGCTCGCCAAGCCCGCTTCCTCTCCATAACCGCACCTTCCCCCCACCGCCTCCCCTAAGCTTACTTCCGATTGGCTGCGTGTCTTCTCTGCCTCCTGACGTCACCGCAGCTCCACGCCTCCGTTCCCCTCGCAGAAAGGAGGGGGCGTGGCCTGCTTGCTCCGCCGCTGCGTGGGCAAAGGGAGGGGGGAGGCAGAGAGGCCAGTACTCTGATTGGTGGTTCGGCGCTCCCCCCTCCTTCTCGGCGCGCGCGCACCCACCCGTGCGCGCGCACCCTCTTTCTCCCCCCCCCCCACTAGATAGTCGCCCGCTTTAATCGGGTTCGCTGCTACTGCTCCTCCCCTGGCTTCGCCCCTCCGGACCAATCCGCCGCGTGCGCGCGCGCTGTCGTGGAACGTTGGGTGGCGCGCACGCGCACACTGCACTCTCGCGCTCTCTCTCTCTCTCTCTCTCTCTCTCTCTCTCTCTCTCTCTCTCTCTCTCTCGCCCGGTCCGGCACGCGGGAAGCGCGAGGCTGCGGCGGCGGCTTGGGGCGGCCGCTCGTCCACCCGGCTGGCAGCGGGCAAATCAGGTCAGTGGAGGCGGGAGGGGTCGCCGCTTCCCGCCCGTCCGCCCCCCCCGCCTCTTGCCCCTGAATGCCGGGCACGCTCGCATGGCGGATCGCGGCGTGGCGTTGCGCGGCATCCTGCGTGGCATCCGTGGCATCCTGTGCCCGGGCCGCCGTTTGGCTTCTCCCCGCGGGGCATTGTCTTGCGCGGCGCGCCGGCATCGCGGCGCGGGGCGTGGGGGGGCTCCACGTGCACGGTCCGTCTGCAGCCGTGGGTGGGTCTGCGAAATTGGGAGCGGGCGCGAGTGCCTGCGTGACGTGCAGGGGCGGGCGTCGCTTCTGCGGGGCGCGGAGGGGGTCGGGGCGCGGAGGCGCAGCGGGTGCGGCGGTGCAGCCTGCACGGAATCCCCGGAAGCCCCCGCCGGCCGCCCCCACCGCTCCTCTCCAGGGTGCAGAAGCTCCGGAGCGCCGCTCTTGGCCGGGGCGGGGAGGATGGCGGGTCCCGTGCCCTGGCGGGGGGTGCAGCACCTAATGCCGCTTGCGTGGCTGCGCTTCGCAGCCCCCCGCTGTCCCAGATTGCGCCGCGCTTGTGCACGAGAGGAGAGGCCATTTGGGGAGGATGCGCCCGCCGTGCGGACTGCGGGGAGGCTGCGTCCGCGGCTGGAGCTTGTGTGTTGGGCCCCTCGGCGGAGCGCGGCCGCGCACTCCGCGGGGCGGTGTCGGGGTGGTCGCTTCGCGGGGCGCCGGACCGCAGCCGGTGGCCCCGCGGCCCCGCCGGTGCGGTCGTTGCAAGCGATGCGTGCTCTGAGCGTGCGGGGACAAAGAGTCTTGCGCACTGGGCACATGTCATGTGCTGTGCGCATTGATGCTCCCTGTTCTCTGGGTGCCGCTTTGGTTGTGCAAGTTAGTCATGAGACTTCGGGTCATGCAACATTTCCTTTTCTTTCAAGTGGGCAGCACCCGCTGGGATTTTACCAGGAACCGGCGCCGTGCTTTCGGCATCTTTTGGTGGAAAGGGTGTCAAAGGCCTTGTAAATTGCCGGGGAAAAGAGCGCAACGTTGGTGCGCTCTTTTTATTTATTTATTTATTTCCATTTGGAAGCTCCCTGGGCATGTCACAAAAATGTGTAGAACACCACCATAATGTACAATACAAATACCATAAGAACAACAATGTTAAAATGAATTTAAAATAGCTAAAAAAACATACAGGCACCCTGGAAAGGAAAATAGTCATTTGGATAATCCTCTCAGGCCCCTGGATAACCAAGGAGATCTTTAAAGGCTTCCACGTAAAGGGCTGTCTTGACCCAGCACTGAAAAGATGACAGGTTTGGTGCCAGGTGGGACCACATCTGGGTGGTGGTTCCAAAGATGGAGGCCACCACAGAAAAGGCCCTCCCCCTTGTTGCCATCCTCCAAGCCTCCATGAGGAAGGCCCCAGAGGTTGAGTGTGGTGTCTGAGTATATCAGAGTTCAGACAGATATTGGACAGGGATTGTGTTCCCAAGCCCTGGAGGGCTTCACAGGCTAAGAGCAGAACGTCGAATTGGGTCCGGAAGCTTATGGGCAACCAATGCAGGTGAGCCAGGTGAGGTTGATGTTTGGACTTCAACTGCCATAAGCCCTAGGCAGCATGGCCAGTGGTCAGGAATTCTGGGAGTTCTATGCCACAGCATTTGAGGGCACCGGATTGCAAAAGCCTGCTTCAGACCCCTCTTTTGGCACTGTGAATGAGCTGTTTTGTGTTTGAGTACCAAAGACATGGACTGGTTCAGGTGTCCTAGTTTCTTTTGACATAATTTAGCATATAGGTGGAGACGTTTTTCAGAGCTGCCTGCTTGTCACAATTCATCTCTGGCAAAGAACTGGGAACTGCAAACTCTTCTTTTAATTGCAATGACAAAGTGGATTTTGCAGGGAAAGTGGGGCAAAATGCCATCCTGTGTAAAGTGTAAGTGGACTGGCTTGGAATGATCGATTGAAATCCAGGCTCCAGCCTTTTGAGTTGTGCATTTCCTGGCCAAAGTGCATGTGGTATCATCTTGAGCGCGCGCACCTGCACTGCACTGATGGTGCCGTGAAGTTGGGAACTGGGGAGAAAAGGGCGTGTGATCCCATGGAATACTGGCCACATCCTGGGTGCAGATTCTGAGTTGGAAGATGAGGAATGTCTCAGTGATGTTGGGGAGCATGGGTTAGCTCTGGGATGTAAGAGGAAGAGGTGGTTAACTGAAGGCCAAGCAGTTCCTGGGCCAGACATACAGCCAGTGGGAGGGGCCACTGGGGAGGAGGAACGGTCAGATGCAGACCATTCCCCCCCCCCCCCAGCTGGACCCCGGGGCAAGGCATCAGCAGAGGGAAGAGACCCAATTATATGAGCGGCGAACACAGAGGAGGCACCCTTACCTCCAGAGAGACCCTCCGGAAGGGTTGGGGCCCAGGTGTGTTCATAAGCAGCATCCCTGTAGATAACCACTGGATTGGGTTAAACCACTCTGTGCATGCTCAGAGATCCATTCTGGGTGATACGTACTTGAAAGCAGTAACATTCCATTTGCGAGGAAAACAGGCTGTGGTGGGTGCTTGTTCAAAAGAGGAACTTTTTACTCCAACAGGTACCGTTTTGGCATTGTGTACTCTGGATGGTTCTCCTTAAAAACCTTTCTTCTCCATCCTGTGTTTGGTGCACAGGCAGCATAGGCGGCTTCACTCTTTGGAGCTTTTGGAATGCATGCAATTGAATGTCAAGTCTGTTCACACTGTTTTAGAGGCATGCTCAAATCGGTGAAGCCAAAAAAACAGCTGAGCGTCTGTCTTACCAAGCCCAGGTATGACTCTGTGAAGCTCGGTAGAGAGCTTGAAGGGGCTGGACTTTCTTCTTGCATGCACAGGACCTTGCTGGAGTTTCGTGATTTTGCTTGGGAGGCCTCATTAGTGAAGGGGATCATAAAATGCAAAACTTTTTGCTTCACTTGGGCTTGGGCACCTGCAATTTAGGAACCTAGCAATAAAGTTGGCACAAGGTAATTGTGCAGCCTGCCATTGGGTAGACTTTGAAGGGCTATCGGCCACTCACAGTTGTTCAAAATTGTGCTCCTGCCCAGGGGATGAGCACCCCAGCCCTACTTCTCGTCCCCCACTCCAATCTCCCACTTCAGTGGAGTGGTTTAACTGTGTCCAGTTGAACTAGCCCGCAGCCTCTGCGTGGGTCATCTGCTTCCACATGGCAAGGGCTTGGAGAGAGGCTGTGCGTGCGTGTGCAGACAGTGGGGTCAAAGCAGGCCTCATCTCCCTCCAATATTCAAACCAATTAAAGCTGATTAAAACAATGCATGAAGACGCAATAAAAGCATCATCGTTCCAGGGAGAAAATTCTAGGCAATGCACAACCCGCCAGTTCCACTTACTGGATTAAAAGCCTTCATAAATCAACCGGCTTCGTTATCATTTGGCTGGCAGGCGGAGAGGGAGCAGACCTCCCTTACCGTGGGACGGAGTTCCACCGCCTGGAAGCGGCCACCAAAAAGACCCCTTCCCCGGCATCTGCCAGGGACACCTCTGCAGGCCGGGCCTCGGCCTTTCTGTGGTCCCCACGCAAGTGAATGCCAGGGACTCGGAAGAAGTCACCTGGAAATCATGCCTCTGGAGAACAAACTCTGGATGGGCATCACTGCTGAAGTGTTTGTTTCTGCACTGTTCATGAACACAGGTGCAGTAATAAAATAAATGACCATAGAAATGCAAATGCAATAAACTGCAGCATAGAAGTCCAGTGTGCAAAAGTTAAAACGGTTGAAGCGCCTAAAAGAATGTCAGTGAAAACTGGTTCTGTTAAGACATGATATATATGGAGCCCAAGATAATGAGAACAAGGAGTGCTGGCTCTCACTTTGATGGCTTCTCCTGTGAGGATGGCTTTGTGCATATGTGTATTATGTGCTTTCATTGTCAAACTGGTTCCACACTGAAAGTCAAACACACCTGGCTCAGAGCAGGTTTGGGGACCATGGCCTGCAGGTGAGCTGGTACTGAAAGCCAGTAGGATTACCAAGCAAGTGTTGGAAATGGATTGTTTGATCTGAGTTCAAATCTCTACTCAGCAATGACTGACTTTGGGAGCATCATATTCTCACAGCCTCATCTTTTGGGAATAAAACTGACACCCGAATACACACCCCGTGCACACTGACCTGAGCTCCTTGGGGAAATGACGGGATGAAAATGCTGCACCGTTATCTGAGCACCTTCCCGTTGGAATGTTAATGGTATTCTGTTCTAGCCAGAATAAAATGATTAGTACGGCGCAGCGTTCAGGATATGCAATTAACAAGATGCTAGATTTATGAATGTTGGTGGAGGTGTAAAATGATACATTCTGAATGGAGGTTATAAGGCTAATTAGGAATATAACTAGCAACTTTCACTGCAAGCAAGCTTCAAAAATGATTTAAGGAACAGTGTCAGAAGGTAAAATAATGCCTGGTTAGTCATTTGCCTGTGGATGCTGAAGCAAGGGTTGTTAGGCCTCCTAAAATTCCTTTGAAGAATGGCACAGGAACTGATGGGGCGGTTGGTCTGTGTGAATCAAGGTACGAACATAAGCAAAGCCGGGAGAGCGCCAAAAACTGAGCAGTACAGAAATGAGCATTCAGCAGTGATGCCCGTCCTGAGTTTATTCTCCAGAGGCATGATTTCCAGGTGACTTCTTCCGAGTCCCTGGCATTCACTTGCGTGGGGACCACAGAAAGGCCGAGGCCCGGCCCGCAGAGGTGTCCCTGGCAGATGCCGGGGAAGGGGTCTTTTTGGTGGCCGCTTCCAGGCGGTGGAACTCCGTCCCACGGTAAGGGAGGTCTGCTCCCTCTCCGCCTGCCAGACAAAGGATAACGAAGCCGGTTGATTTATGAAGGCTTTTAATCCAGTAAGTGGGACTGGCGGGTTGTGCATTGCCTAGAATTTTCTCCCTGGAACGATGATGCTTTTATTGCGTCTTCATGCATTGTTTTAATCAGCTTTAATTGGTT